GTCTCAAAACACTACGTTTGCATCTGTGGGTACAAGTTCACTGTGATTCTATGATTGCACAGACCGTGCGCCCCTGGTTAGGCTGTGTATGGGGCTTATTTTTGGGTACTGCTGGTGGCTGCCAGAACAACCTCAACACTGTCAAACAAAGCGTTTTCCTGCTAATTCCTTACAGGGCTTAGGTGGATTCTGAATCAATCTGGCTGAGAAAGTCAGCCAGACAAAGAGGTATAATCGTGACATGGTTAGTTATTTATATTTTACCTGAATCAGTGATTAAGGTGCCTTTTGTCAGTTCGTATGCTTCACACATAACTTTTATCCTACCATTTTTTGACAGAAGTTAGACTTAGAGTATCTCTTCTTTATGTCTTCTGAATCAGTCTTCAGAATCCCTAACCCAAAGTTTAATATCATCCATTATTCAACACCTAGCCTAACAATAAGGCTAACTTTAAAACTAGTAATCTCTCAGTAAAGCTGTGCAATTAATGCTGAAATACCTGAAGTACAGAATAATACCAAGTAGCACTCCCCATAGCCTTCCTCAGAGCATCCCAAAATACCAATAGTCTTCCTGAAGTCTCTAGTTATCAAACATTCTTTGAGATTTAGTGGTAGACTCCGGCTCACCTAAGTAGATTTGCTTAAAATGCAGAATATTTTCCCCACAAATTTAACCACAGACTCTCTACCTGCTCACAGTTCACCCATTTTATGCCAGGTTTCAATGATCAAAATGTCCTCCCAAGGCTGTTTAGCACGCTGGTGAGCTTTACCCAAATTAGTTCATTCTGTTGTTTTTATCGTTTTTCATTTACCATGTAAATGACCCCATGATTTTTGTGCCATGTGGCTCCCCACAGCACTGTAGCTCCCACCTGCTCTCGCTCCCCCTGAGTTGGGATGAAGGGGGCTTCCACTTGCTGGAATTTCACTTTTCCTTGTGGTTTTAGGCCACAGCCCACACTTGGACAAGGCTTTTGCTTTGGATGCCTTTACAGTCTCCGTAGCTGCAGTAGTATATGTTTTATTTGAAAGCATTACATTTACTGCAATATAAAGAGGCCATTATTGCTTCGCTGTCTTCAAAGCTGGTCTTCCCCTTGCCAACCCCTTTGCTGATGTCTTCCTGGAGTTACACAGTATGTACTGGGCTTTCTTATTCCTACTTGTACTAGATACAACACAGTTATGTTTCTTCCCCCAAGCTCAGTGTCCTCAGAGGAGTATTTAGGTTAAGAGCAGTTTATTCCTGGCTAGAACTGCAGCAACTGAAAGCAGGTTCATAAGCCAGGATTCTCCTGTGCTGCAGGCAGCTACTAACAGTCCAGGTGATGTCTTGGACGGAGACAGAAGCAGGGAGGTGTGCAGTGACAGGGCACAAAAAAACCCTGCTGCTGCAGCACGGATGGTGCTTGGGGCATGGTGGCAGCACAGGGCAGGAATGATGCCATTAACAGATAGAAACAGGGGGGAAAAAGGAGACAAATCCTCATAGCCCTCTGCTCAGCTCCCCCCTCACCAGGAAAGATGAAAAGAAAGGTGTGACAGTGGGGGCTGCCAGAGCCAGGAGCCCTGACGGAGCAGTGAGAAGCAGGTGGGGGACACAGCACAGACCCCACAGCAGCTCTGGGGTCTGCGCTTCAGCCAGCTGGACCTGTGCAGGGTGCAAGATCCCCCATTCACACCACATCTCCAGCGTTGTCTGGGGAAGGTGTTTTCAGGGATCCCAGGGCGGCCTCATCCTGCTCAGTACAGCACAGGCAGCCTGTGCTCACAGTAAATTCACTCCTATGAGAATTCTCTCACTGTGGAAAGAGTCTTTGCTTTGCTTTGTTTGCTTAACGTAAAATTGTGCATAGAAATAAATGAGTAAGTGCTTCTATCTGAAGTGAAGATTTTCCTTTTCAGCAGAAGACATCCCTCTGGCAGGGCTTTCCCCTGTGGCTACGCTCCCACCAAAGAGACAGCTACATGGCTGTCATACACCATACATATGCAGTTGGTAAATATTGTTATTTAATATTGTTATTTAATATGGATCTTTGGGTGAGGAAATTGAGCCAGGACTGGAAATCCAGACCTAGCTCATGGATATAGTGGAACAGAGGGATGAGAGAGGGGTTAGGGCAGTGGGTTAGGAGAGGTTAGACCAGAACCTCTGACAGCTTCAGGGTGAGCAATATTGGAAAGAAGAGAGTTAAATGTATATATATATATATATGGCTTTTAGCTTTGCCTGATAGCTCCAGCAAGGACTGGGTCACCTCTGTGGAGAGGCTTCAGCAACATGTCATAGCTAATGATGTCAGTGCTGAGAAAAAGGTGGCAGTTTAAGTGAGTATAATAGGGGTAAAACCTCTAACCTGCTGTGCAGCCCGAGTGCTCCTGTTAAGCCGGCAGACAAAACAATTTCTGGGAGAGAGGTGATTTTGTAGAATTTCCTCAGCCCCCAGCTCTGCTGCTGGTTACAGAGCCTCCCTGCTATTATCATCCAAAGGAAAGTGAAACCATTTGGGGATAAGTGCCTGAGTTAAGGAAATTAACAGAACATCACCAGTTTGAGGGGAGCTTAAATGCTGCAGTACCAGGGACCAGCTACAGCACGGTACAGCAAACCACGCAGTGCTCACCAGTTACCATACAGGGCTGATCTGACTCTAAAGCAATCATTACAAACAGTTTCTGTAATAGCAGTGGCAACCAGACAGGCCAGAGAAGTGCAACTGAGGCACCAAGGACGATCAGCAACAGCGCTGGAGATGAGCCCAGACACACAGCATGGCTCCCCAAAGGCTGCGTACGCCTTCTCTGCAGAGGACAGTCCCACAGAGCAAATAACATGCTTGGTTTTATTCATTTACCCTGTTCAAGGACAGACTTATTGGGATCCATAAGATGCTAGAAAGGCAGGGATGGATTCTGCAAACAAGCCCAAAGTCTGACAACCACGACAACGGAGCAGAGTGATGGGAAACTGAGCCCATGCAGGATGCTGGGGAGCCCATGTGGAACGGGGGTCTATTTCAGGGGACACAAATCCACATTTTATCTGGATTTCTTTACAAATGGAGGAAGCACAGTTTATAGTAAGGCTTGCCCTGGTCCTGCTGGTTTTGTAATTTCATGGTAGGATTATCAGAAAGCGTTTGAAGAGATGAAGTTGCAGAAACTTCAGTGCTTTTAATCCCCATTTCTCTCACCAAAGGCACCACACAGTGCTGAACACAGTGCCTGGGAGAAATGGGTTTACGTTGGTGAAGTATATGGTGCACCAGGCTTTCAGGGGTTTCCTCATTAGCTGAACCCTGGCATTTCTCTAAAATCTGTTCCTCCCCAAGTCAGTTAGCAGTGAAGTCTGAGCACTGTGAGGTGTTCAATAGCTCAGTGTGATAGCAGCAACTCACATACAGTACCGGCTCTGACAATATTTTCTATGGGAAGATTTCTTAAATATATGGGAAAACTGCCGGAGCAAGGTTTCACAATAGCAGGAGTTTAGTTCATCAACAGTGATGAAATTTCTTCTCTGCCTAAAGAGTGATCTCCTGTAGGCCAGAGAGGGTCCTAACCCCAGACTGCTGGCTGCTGTGGGCCCACCTCTCCCAGGGTTTGGTCATCTTGACCCTAGAAAAACCTTCCTGAGAAAGGCTGAGCAAGAACAGCAGAGTGTAATCCACCCAATCCAGGCTAGCAAATTAGCCACTGTTTTCCAGCCAACCCTTTCCCACATCACAAGTTTAATTAGAGTTTCCTTGCAGGCTTCGCCATAGATAGGGACCTGGGATCTTCATGCTTTGGTTATGGCCATGGGACAGCACAGTTTGTGAAAAAATATGAAACAGTCTTCAGATTTCATCTGAGGAATCTTATTTATAAAATGGATCCTATTGGTAGTCACATCAAGCTGTCCTGAAGCCAGGCAGGTACTTAGTTTAGAAAAATTAGGTAGCATCTTTAATTCCTTGAGAGGCATCTGGGAGCTGTGATGGGAGCCCAAGAAGGTTATTGTGTACCTGGGTGGTTGGGTCACTCGCGTTTGTTTATAGCTAATAAAAACAGTTATCTGGAAGCCAATTATATCAGTTCCTGTATTATTACATTGTGTAAACAGCAAGGACATAACACTGTTTCTCTCATCTTTCTGCTGTTTTCTATCTCTTTTAACAAGAGCATTACAGCAGATGCTGTCAAGAATTTTAATAAAACAAACTGCGTTTCTGACCGTCTTTATCCATTTCTTCTTGTCTTTATAGGCTAGAAATATATTAGAGGGTCTAAGTGAGGAAAATTACTCTCCCTCCTCCCTGTCCCTGTCTCTCAGTTGCTCTCCTATATTCTGGGGAGTTTCTCCCTTGCGGAAAACCCAAACCACCACAAAGAGCCCCAGCCCCATAGCCTCAGGGCAACCTGGAGAGCTACTCACACTGTCTGTCAGTAGATCCCCTTCGTTGCCTCCTGCGCTGAGCTCCAAAAAGGGCCCAGGCTGGTGGCAGTGCATGTCCCTGGGCCCAGATGGAGTTAAGAGGGTGTGGAGGAGCAGTGGCAACGAGGCCACTCTTCCCAAAATTTCTGAAGCTGATCAAATTTCCTGGGATATAATCCTAAAAAGATTTCAGCATCTAACTATGCAAAGAAACTCACGTGGGCAAGTGTCAGTACAGAGATGATAGCACCTACAGGCCTGTCTGATAGAGAGACACCCTCTCTTTAGGCTTGGGCAGATGTGGGTTACCCAAGCTAACCTAGCAGTGAGATCTTGGTGAAGCATTTCATACTGAAACAAAACAAGAACCCCACCATTACCACTACCAAAACAAAACAAACAAACAAAAAAGCAACAACAAAAACAGAAAAACAAAAAACAAACAAACAAAAAACCACCAACAACATCAAAGAAGTAGTTTTGTAAACCAAATTACTGAAAATGGAGTGGGCAGTTAGGAGTCTTTAATTATCTCTTTGACTACACTGGGACAATTAATTTTGCACTCCCTGAACACATGTGAGAACACCTTTTGTCCTCAAGAGGCAAAGCAGAAGCAAGTGCTAAGGAGCTGCAAGTGCCCTGGGGTGGGGTCTGGTCCGCCTGCCTGGAGCTTCTTGGGGCAGAGGAGTTGGAGGTGAGAGCTTGGAGAGATGGCAGAGCTCAAGGTTTTCCTCTCAGCCTAAAGATCCCAAAACTTTAAAAATTGATATATCCAAGTTCTCCTCTGTGTTTTTATGTAAAAATCTCTTTCTAATCCTTTAGTGTGCACTGAGCTGGCCTGTTCAGCAGCCTCCTAGCATTAAGATAGGGTCTCCAAGAGCTCGGGTGCTTTGCTTCACACCAGTTGCACGTGGTTGTTCTGCCACCAAGATGGAGAACTGTAAGTACTGTGTCCTGTTCTACTGTGCTAGGGTTTTCTTTGTTTCCTATAGGTAAGCTACTCCAAGTTATTTGGTTCTCTTTTTAATGATGTGGTGATTTTTACCTTATATGTTCTGCATTTGTAGAAAGACTGCATAAGTAAGAGAGGCTTGCAAAGAGCTCTTAGCTTATGAGTAGAAATAAGGCCATCTACATACTGGTGTGTCCTCGCAATGCAGGTTTTTTGGTATCCCAAAGATAACTGCCAGCGCAGGCAACTGTAGTTGAAAAACCACATCAGAAGTGACTTGTCCCTTTCCTTTTTAGAGACTGGTTCATACCTGGAGGGCTAAGCTATAAAGGTGCATGTATACCTAGTTGTAATCCATGTTGAGTACAGCCTTTGTTAAGAAGGAATAAGGGCTCTTTGACCCCTCTTCCTCTGGAGTTCACTCTCCGTAAGAACGTTTGCTGCAAGCCTGGACCTCTGCAGCAGACTGGGCAAGGATGTGGGGCCAGCTGGGGTGGGTTTGGGGTCCTGGGCCCTGGGTGAGCCTGGCACCAGGGCTGCAAGCAGCATCTGGCTGAGCTCTGGGCAGGGGCTGGTAGAAGCAATCCTCTGGAATAAACTCAGTCACAATTTTAAACAAAAGGAATATTGTCTTGTAGTAGCACACAGCTAATATGGTTTGGGGAGGGGAGGAAAGGAAAGGAAAATCTTTGAATGTCATTTTGAAGAGCTGATATATTTCTATGTACTCACAAGACAGAGACAAACATCCTTCTAATGAAAATTTTCTGTTCAAATACAAATAGTGTTTCATGCCCACATAATGCAAACATACAACTTTGTGTTTCAAGTCCCCTTGGGGATGCTGGCACCTTGTTTTGTGATGGAAATATTTGCTTCAACAGCAAGAAATTAATTTTAGGGTAGCCCATTATGCACCACAAACCTTTCCTTTTCTTCCAGCTTTACGATCAGAATTAGAAAAGAGGCATGTCTCAACTTTGATTTAAAGCACTTAAGTCATTATATATTATTTATAATTTTATCCCCAGCATGGAAAGTAACACTTCTAATACATGGCAATCTGTACCTCACCAGCATTTGAAAACTATAGCTGCATACATTGGTGTGTTTTATTTTTCTTTTTTACACAGTAAAATTTGATATACGATAGTTGCTAACTTCATATAGGTACTGATTTGGGACTTTTTAGTGTCATAAAACCTCTGAAGCAGAGACTCATGGAACGTGAAACACTGACATAGTGCCTCTGGAGCACCAAAGCAAAAGCTGGCTGATGAAGATGGGTTATTTGTGGTGGGGTGATGCTCAGAATTACAAACACTGCAGGCTTTAGTTACACACATGTGCACACACACACACACCCCAACTCAGTGAACTTGCAGAACTTTCCAAATACTGGATGTGGAAAGTCTGGTAATTCCCCTCTCTTGGGGAAGATGGGGGGGAATAAAGGGATGGAGGAAGTACTACTTCAGAAACATAAATAATCTGATTTTTAACTTATAATAGTTACTTGGAAATGACTGCAGTTTTGAGAAAAGGACAGCTAACTTATTTAAATAGGCTGCAGAGTGTTTGCCTCTTGTTTAATCATTCAGGTGCAGAAGTGCTGCAGGAAATTGTTAGCGTTCAGCCTGATTGTGCAAAGGCTGCTGGAGGAGGAGACCCGTCAGACATGCAGCAACTGTCTGACTCAAGGTGTTCACCCAGAAAGCACTATGGGAGTATACAATTTAACATAAAGCTCTAGTCAAGCAGCTTCTTGCTTCTGTAGCCGTGGACTTTCAAAACTTTTTATGAAGTATCACATTTCTTGTAAGGCTGTGTCATACACAATAAGTAAATGACAACACCAAAACTAAAACTCTTGCAGGTCTTTGAATGCAAAACCAAAGTTCAGTATATGCTGTACCTTGATTATTATTTTTTTTAATGAGCAACAGGAAAAAACTTTGTTATAAAAACTTGCTTAAATTTCCTTAAGATTTATATTTATTTCTTTTACACTTTCATCTGGTAAAAACTAGATTGATCATTCATTACCCACCTCATTTTTAATATGCTGTAGAAAGTCATATGAAAGTGCCAAAATTAGCACTGTCATCCTCTGTGTTGTCCGTTCTACTGCAGCACAGAGCTGTGATATTCTCAAAAAATATACCTGTGGTGTCTGTTACTAGCAGTCTCCCGCTCTGACTCAGACCTCACATGCATACAAATTCATTATATACGTTTTTCTCTTCCAAGAATGTATACATTTAAATCATCAGCCATTTAGAGACACATAACATAATGAAGAAAATTCACTTCTTTATTTCTCTACCCCCTTATGGTAATGAAAATTACTGATCTTTTTTTTTTTTTTCTTAAAGGCAGCTTTCCCCCAGCATATTCACATTGCAGTAGACAGCACAATTCTGTACTTACAGATCTTAACAGTGAAATGTCTCAGGATCTTTACAATTTTCTGCAGAACTGTTTCAAGCTCTCAGCAAGGCACAGTGTTCATCGAGGCAGAACGGAGCCGTATGGAAGGTCTATGCAGCTGGGAGATAATGGAACTATTTTCCCAGCTGGGACTACAAGCCTTTTATCCACTGAGCATTGCGTGTCTCTTCACTGGTATTAACCGTGAAATACACTGCTTTCCTGCTGCACTCGTGCTAGGACCCACACAATTAGTGCTTGAAGCAGATAAACAGCTACTATAGTTCATGCATATTCCTATCTGGAAATCTTAAACGTATAAAAATTAGCTCTGCACTGATCATCCTTCAAGCAAGCTGAGAGAGTGAAAGCACAGCTGTCGTACTAGTAGCATAAAAGATTAAATGTTCTCTTGCTATTCTTTTTGTACAAATATGAGCTCCTGTCAGGTAATCAGAAAACCTCTCTCCCTGATAACTGGGTCACTACCCAGTATTGTGTTTAAAATAGGAATGGAAATAATTTTGTTTAGTGCTGGGTCCCACAATTGCTTCTTGAGCTCCATAGGAGGAAGCCCATAGGATGCGAGCTAGCTGACAGTCACTGCATCCCAGCACTGACTGTCCTCCCAGAACGTTTTACTACCCCATCATATTTTGCATATTCAAAAAAAAAAAAAAAAAAGGAGTTGTTTGAAGTAGTACAGACATAAATCCTGATTACACACAAACTTCAAACCTTCTTAGATTCCCATTTTTCCTCTTGAGACTGTTTCAGCAGAGATCAAATGCAAAGCTCAGACAGGGGAATGCCTTTCTGTTAGTAAGCAAAAGTTATTTGTATTCACAGGGGAAGGAAGTGGAAAGAGCAGTTTTCAGAATGTTTCTGCCAAGAAAAGTGCAATTGTATCACAGGCGTTGTTTCACCACGTTTTAATGTAATCTTGGTGTAAATCCATTAGTTTGTAATGGGATTAATTGCATGCCTGTCTGAGCAATGGCAAGTAGAGAGGAAGTGGAACGTAGGTGGCAAAAACCCACAGTGGCACACGGACAATTCATTGCTTCGTTGCTTGGGTGCAATTCGTCCCACCTACACCTGGGTGCTCTCCCCTCAACCACCATGCTAGTCATTTCAGGCTGCTCCTTCCTTCCCATCAGTGTAATCTGGATGTGTTGAGGTGCTGTGGCTCATTGCCCCATGGCTGAGCTGCTGTACTTGTCAGCCCATGCAAAAGCATTGCTGCGTTGCAGTCAGGTTGCTCTTACTGGAGGTGGCTGTGGAGACAAGGCAGCTTAGAGGACAGATAAAATTATGGTAGATGTAGGAGAGAAGGTGAAGACGTTATCCCTTCTAAAAGAAGAGGGTTAGGAAAAGTTTTTGTTTGAAGAGGAGGATGGTTTGGAGGAGGATTTGCATCTGAGTTAAGAGAGCTGGATCCAACCCAACCTCTGTGGAGGAATTTCCCCATGACCTAGGAAGTGCCTCAGCTGTTCTAGTCTTTTTTTTCTTTTTTTTTTTTTTGCTTGTAAGATGGAGGTGGCAGGACACAACAGGAACTGGTGGGATGTGTGTCCAAGTGCAGGGCATCCTACACTGTGGGGATGTTACGGTATGTATCCCCCTCCAGAATCAGGGCTGACATAGCTGTCCTGATTAACATAAACAATTTTACACTTCCATTGCATGAGCATCTCAAATAAGCTTTACTGACAATTAATTAAGCCTTGCAGCACCTTCCAAAGTAGACAGACATTATAATTAGTCCTATTTTTAATTAGGAATAAAATTTGAAATGGAATTTTAGGTATTTCCTCATTAAATTTTTATTTTAAATAATAGGAATGCATTTTCTAAGCTGCATAAAGAGTAAATAGACAAGAAGTTGGTTTAAACTGGCTAACCCAAGCTTTTTCTTGCTAATTTTAAAGTTTATTAAAGGTCTAATCTTTTCTATATACATTAAAAAAATAAAAGAACCTATTTTGCTTATGCATTCACTATTAAACAAGACCAGGAACAGGACTTCGCAGTAGCTGGGGAAACTAATGCTGTTAAATCTTTCCAATTTCTGACTGGCAATGGAAACAACCAGAAATGACCCTTCTAAAGGTAGATCATTCATTTCAAGTTCTAATACTTTCAATCAGGAAAGGCTAACACTTAAATATGTCTGAACTTTGAACTTCTGAACGTCTTTTTGTGTGCGTGTGTTTTGTTGTTAAAACTTGTGAAGTTCTGAATTACTTTTTCTGAAGTATAGTATCCTCCATTACAGATATGCTTATATCTTTTAGAAATGACACAAAGTGATGATAAAATTGAATATCAGAACAGACTGCTCCTAAAGGTCAAGATAGAACATTTAAATGTTAACAAAATGTTGCATTTTTGCCTATTATTTTTCCAAAATAAAATTTCATTGATATTGACTTTTTTTCCAAATGGTTTTGAAGAATTGCCATATTCTGTTTAAAAAAAAAAAAAAAAAATTCTGTCCAACAGTTTTTTGTTGTTCTTTTTTTACTATTTTTAAATACAGATCAAAAAGACCTATTTAACATACGTAACATTACCGTGTTTCCAGCAGTCAGAAGCCACTTAGATAAATCCCTTCAGCCATTAAACCTTCTTGCTACTTCTGTTGTGGTTTTGATAGTGTCAGAGCAGGGCAATTACTGCTGTATTGTAAACCAAACTAGGGAGAGGGTCAAGCAATCCCGGCTGTCCCTGGCTGGGCTGTAGTTACCCCAGAAGTTGATGCTACCTAATAATGAGCCCAAAGATTTCAGAGCTCAATACGAAGTGCACAAAGTCCTTGTGTACCTTTCAGGACATTGTTTTAGGCTAAAAATAATAGAGATAGAATCTGGTCTATAAAACAGACAGCAGATAGAATCTGGAGCATAGGCTAGAAGACAGAAGTGAATTAGCAGGAGTTGGACCAAGGTGTCTCTTGCAAAAACTCTGCTGAGAAATGGCCTGGAAGACACTTTCTCCTCCGTTTTCTCTGTAAAAATTGGAGATGCCTTCAGATGATACATGCGTTTTTTTGTAAGAGCTGTCACTGTGCCTTCAGAAGGAGATAGAGCTTTCCAGCTTACTGCTGACTTCTTGTGGCTGTGTCAGTTTTTCTATCTCTACTTTAGACAGAGTAGATAAATCCAAGATGTCTTCAGCAACATTTTAAAGTGAATTAGATCAAGGACTAATATGATCTAGACTCTTTCTGCTATGCTCAAACAGCAACTTGTCCTTGAGCTAGTCCCTACGATCACAGAAGCAAAATTTAAGGACCAAGATGAAACTCTCTTGAACAAAGGAATGTGATTGCATCCCATGAGGTGCTTTATTCAGGCAGTGCCATCTACTGCTTTGAAACTCATCTATTAAACAACCTAAATGGCTGTTTGGCATTTACGCTGTGCATTGGATTTTGGTTGCTGTAAAATCTTTGATCATCTTTATGAATCCATAGGCACTCCTCAAGCAAGATTGAGGGTGAGTTCTGCAGGGCTTCTCTGGTAATCATTGCAGAGACAAAACTCCTGGGCCTGAGTTGCTAACTATAAAGGTTTGCATATAATTAGTGGCTCTACTACAGGCATTCCTTGTGGTGTTGTAGAAAGTCCCTACCTAAAGCTACTGCTCACTGTGTTTTTGTAAGACTTCACAGCATTTTCGTGTACTGCCGAGAGTTAGTTACTTTTAAAATCATCAGCTTAATGTTCCTTCAGTCCTGTTAGACGTACTCTGAAATAAATAGCAATGCACAGTAATTTCAGGCTAAAGGCTGGATGAATGCACCTTTGTAGTTTTTGTTTCTTTTTGGTACAGCAGTAGAGTGCGTAACTTCAGATTTCAGCAGTTATGTGGCATTTGTCCTGTGATATTTCTGAAAATCTTTCCTGAGATGGACAGTGGAAAAGTTGGACAGTGGAAACCTCAGAGCCAAAATTTATAATATTCATTTGCATTTTAATAAAAGTTGAAAGTGCACTGTGAGGTTAACGGAGATGCTGGACAAGCTGGCTGGTTGGCATGGTACAGACATGGGTTAGCAGTCTGATCTTGCATACAGAGGCCTTGAAATCACTCCAAATCCTGGACTACCATAACCTGAGGTCCTCAAAACTTGTGTTCCTGGAGCTGTGCTCATTCCCTCCGACAGAGGTGTTGGTAGAACAGTTGAACAAAACCAAAAACTACCAAAAAATTTTAGAATGTTTTAGGGCAAGAGACTAATATCAAAGAGGGAGATGATAGTCGCTCCAGAAATTAATTTTGCAAGTGGCTAGAGAGCAGTAATTATAAGTCCAGGGCATTGCTGACAGAAGTACTCTAATACAGATAAAATATATAATCTATAGACAGTATACTTTGATATAGAATAGGTATTTTTTCTGTATTCCTTCTCATTTTATTTTTTTTTTTAAGGGGTGCTGGGGGGAATAAAGGAAAAGGGATCTGCAGGTTTAATGTAAGCATTTTGAGTAGGGTGTACATTTAGCTGCCTTTCTGCTGAGTGTAAAGAACCACAATTAAAAATATTGAGCTTATTGGCCTTTTTCATACCAGACTTATTGAAGAATCAAAATAGGCTGCTTCAGCCCTTGTTTGTATTCTAGAAAACTCTTTGCTCTGTCGGAGCTGCAGTCTCTGCCTCCTGTATCTGTTGTGTTAAGGCCCCCATTTTACTGCTGGCAAGGCAGTGACTGAGGAGGGCTGTAGATGACCTCGTTCTATGTGCTCTGCACTTGGTAATGCGTTGGTAATGCAGGGGGAGAAGGTGGTTCCCAGATGCCTATACATACATATGCACACACACGTGCACACAGAAGCAACCCAGAAAAAAAAAAAAAAAAAAAAAAAAAAAACAGCCCCCTGAACTTGTTTCTAATTCACGGTGAAGAAAATGAGAGGGAAAGAAACTGCGCAGCGATGCTGTTAGTTCTCGTGTTAAAGTACCACATTGATCTCAGTCTCCAGAATAAATGTGAAGGTTTAGTGGGTGTTAATCCTCACAGAATGCACTGCTTCTTAATGATCCTTCCAGCAAAGGTGACCTCTGGAGCTATGAATAATGCTCTGAGTAGAGCCTAAATGGTTCCTATGCTTTCATTTGATCTGCATTATTCTCCGATGCTGTTTCACTTTTGCTACATGGCAAGGGATTTGAAAACTTTCTGTCCTCTGCAGATATCTGGTTCTGACTGGGGGTGGGAAATGCTCAAATCAATACCTGTGAGCTTATCTATAATGGAACTGGGAGCTCTTTCACCCCAGGACTGAACTGTCAGGCCTGATTGGAGATAATTGGACAAGGAAATTCTAAAAGTATAAGCAAAACTAAACACGAAGGCTTTTATTAAAGTCATTTTTGATACAGCTAGTGGTGTTATCAAGTGTGGTTTCTGTTTTGAAAGCATAGCCAAGTGCAACCACTGATGAACAGCCTTAGCTCTCAAGACGGTTGCAATATTCTTTGTGATACTTTTTAATGCCTTCAGAATGGATTTGTGGCTAAGCCTCATATGACCTTTTATTCATAGTATGTATTCTAGCATTTTTGGGGTTATTTATCTTTTTTTTTTTTTTTTCTCTTTAGGCTTCTGTGTGTTTGTTTTGCTTTTGGTTTGTTTTTAGAAAACAACTGTCTGAGAATACACCAGTTGTGCATTTCAAGATTTTTTTAGAGTTGAGTTTGTGGTTGTTGCTTCCTGGATGTGAAGTATCAGATAAGTGGGATAGTTTTCACATTGATTTTCTTTAAGGGAGAGAGAACTAGAAGAATGGGGTCCAGGAATTACAATGAACTTTCATTACTGCACCTCACAATTCTGCTAAATAGTCAGTGAATCAATGTTCACCATCTGTGTTATATGGAGGAGAAGCCTACAAAGACATCAGTGGTTGTAAGTATAGGCTAGTAGATGTCTCATAATGGGTATCAGCTGGAAGTACTCATTCAGCTGTGACAGAGAGCTCAGAAAACCAGCTAAAATAGAAT